TATGCCCGTCCAAGCCATGAGCTGCCAGCTTCCTAAGGAGAGCTGTTCTCTAGCACAAAGACCTCTCCATTCCTCCCACAACAACAAAAATAGGAGGAAAAAATGTAATGACCTTATAAAAGAGATAGTGCGGGATGCTGAAGTCATGCTTCAGCTCTGCTCCTTTGTTCTTGACAATGGCTTTGGTAGGAAAGGCTGGCACTATGATTACAACCTCCCTCAATAAACTGATCTCACAGTTCTGCTTTTCTCTTGAGCCTTTTGGTCTCAAGATAAGGGCAGCAATACATGAATTCTCACAGTTTTATACACTAATTTGGGATGTCTGATGCCTTTTTTTTTTTGAAGGCCTCCTCTTCTTGCTCTCCAATCTCACCTAAGACACCCATGTCGTTCACTGTCAAATCTAACTTTTTGTGAGACTAAAATGAGTATCTTTTTCCAGACACCATCACATTTTCTTCTTTCTATTCAGTGAAGGCAATTTGTTACTCTGCACTACATAAGCACTGTACGTTTGACACAAGCATCTAAGTTTGTGTTGACAACAAAGGACCTTTGTTCCCCACAAAAAGATAGGGGAAGAGCTAAAAATTACAACGCATGAATGCACTTAGGGAACTGTGTCACTCCTCCTCAGTTGATACACGGTGCTACCACAATCTTTATTTCTCTGTTTCTGAATAATCAGAAATTGTCAGGCTCAGAACTGTTTATCTTTAGGTGTGAGGATTCAGGCATCCCCAAGAACAGAGGTGATATGCCAATATATTTCACATTAGAAGAAAACAGTGGGAGGTCATACTCTGCTGCTCCAAAGCATCCAATATCAGTAACACCATAGTCTGCACAGTGATTTAGTTTAAACATGCGTGGCTATACACTTCTTCCTACAGGAGAAAACTAGCAAGTTTATTATGCTGAAAGATCAACACTAGCATATTTCACTGAAGTCTGAGAAGCTTTTGACAACAAAGGTTTCCGTTCCTCATGAACTGTTCATTCTCTTCCAGGATAAAAAGAAATTATCAAGAAATCTGCTTTCTTCAGCTCTTGCAGGTTGGTCATACCTTTGTCTCCCTGAATACAGGACAAGGCTGGGGCATCTAGCTTCGACAAGTTAGGCACTGCAATTAGATGCCCATGTTCAGGTGGGATAGATCTTGGCCTCTGTTTCTCTGTCTCTCTTATATGCAGAGGCAAAATGCATAGTAGTGTTTCCTAGTCCTGCCTACTGCTGTAATATCTACTTAGTATTTATGGAGTACCTTGAGATCTTCAGAAAAGGCACCAGGCCATATATAGTCGCATTAAATTAATAGGCCAACTTGTAGATAAACTCAACTGGCTCCTGCTGATTTCATATGCCTCATCATTATTCAGCCAAGCACAGAATTTAACCCCAAATTATTAAGTTTTTCTGTGCCTGAGAAAAACCCATAGCACTGGATTCCTTTGTCCAAGTTCAATAAATTCCCAAACACCTTATACCTGAGGACATTATAAACAGTAAAAACATGTCTTACCAGTTACAAAATCTGCCTCTGTGAAGAAGAGGATGGCTTGTCTGATTGTCACCTCTGGGGTCAAGGCCATTACTGTCTGTAGAAGACTGCCACTTTTGCTTAGCTTCTCCCTGCATTGTGCTAATCTCTTCAATGCATCTGCAAGAACTTTGAAGGCATTGATCCGCCGTAATGCACACACAAGGACTGGGTTTGACATCAGTGTATCAAGGCTTCTTCGCCAGGAAGTGTCTCCAACCTCAAAAGGGGTTATTTCTCTGGCCTGAGATCGAGTGAGATGGGGCAACCACTTGAGACCTAGGAGCTCAAATCCTGAATCAGGTTCTTCTGCAAGTCAAGAGAAATCTGTTTAGCATCAGTTGACAGTATGTGTTTCATAGAAGCTGTTTTCTTCTGGAGACAAGTTCACATTGATGTTTTTACTAGACAACAAATTCCAAAACTGCTTTGACTTTGCCCCCTGTTGCATCCAAAATGGACTGTAATGCAGATATAGAAATATACTGGGAAAAACCACAAGATACAAATGCTAGGAAATTACATTACAGTGAAAACAAAAAAATGGGCTATCTGGGAAATCAACAGGGAGCCACAGAGAATAAGTGCAATGATTTGATTAGAGAACACAGCTAATGGAGAGGAGTTGAAAGGGATACTGAGAATACACTGATAACAATGTGGTTTGACACAGTATAGTCCATAATTATAGATCCTTTATGACCTGTCATAACATTCCATCTTAAGCTATATTCATTACAGTAATAAGCTACAATTTAATACTGACTTGTCTCTAAAGTAGCTTAAATGTTGTTGTGTTTGTAAAGTGGTCTTACTTCCAATATTTAGGGGCTCAATCTGTAAGTGCATGTTGCTGGAGGTTTCTGTCAACTAGAATTGCCTACCACAATACAGAACTTATTCTGTAGTATTGTTTCAAGAGAATAGAAAACAACATAATGTAAGACAGGGTGCCAGACTTCTGCCCTTTGTTAGTACACTTCCTGTATTATTAAACTTTGATGCAATCTGTATTGTGAAATTATGTAAAATCATCATCCTGCTTAGCACTTGACAGCAGTCTTCATGCAGTTGTAAGCATTTAATGCAGGGGATAGTGGTGTTATTCCTCCTGTGCGCATGACGAAACGAAGCATGAAGTGGTGAAGTGTCTTGCTTCTGATCACAAAGGATGTCAGTGGACAGAATAGAGTTTGTGATTTCTGAATTCCTGTTGCTGTGTCCCAATTACACAGCTGCTTTATCTCCCAGATAGAGATAGACACAATGCTTTGGATTATACAAAAGCCTAAACACATCTTTGAACTAATTTGACACTCTCTGAAGAAAATTATGCCCACCTGAGCTGTTTGCAATATGAAAAGTGGCCTTGCCCATGACTAACTAGCTATGATAAATTCTTCAGTTCTTAAGGCAAGTAAGCAAAGAAACCTGTCCTCCTTCCTGAAGCCCCTTTCACCACATTTTTCATAATGTTCCTGCTAGGATAAAAATTCCTACACAGGGTAAACTTTCCTGACCAACTTCTGCTGCCCTCCCCAAGAGCTGGGATCACCTGCACTCTGAGATTGATTATTGTGCCCAGGAAGAAGAATCTGATGAAGGAGCTCTCCGGCACTCTTCATAGTGTCCACTCCAACCAGCGTCAGCATGACAACTTGCTCCATTTCAGGATCAGAAGCATATGTTTGATTGCAGAAAAGATCAATAGGAATGTTGCGGGGCTCTGGCACTGCACTGAGGTTTCCTCCTAGCCAGAGAGATCATCAAAATAAAACCAGTTACCCCACGAAAACAAATCTCAAGTGTTTTTTAGTGTGAAGGAATTGACTAATTCTTGATTGAGCAAAGGCCAGTGCCTCACTGTGATACAGCTCCTCAAGCTGCAGCTCAGCATGGCCAGAAAAAGAATCATGCACGAGGAGTAGTATCACAGCAAACCCTTACTAATTAGTCACACCGCTTAACTGGAATTACTTTTTGCCATGTAAAGCAAATATATTCAGTCCTAATTCTGACACCCTTATTCACACCATTAAGCAGGGTTGGTAGATCTATAAAAAAATGATTTAAGGCATCAGTTTCAGATTGGTAACTAATGACTGACTTCACATTAAATTAATACTTCATTTTGCTTTCTAGATTACGCAGCATACAACTGAGGGCTAAATAGGGGACTGTTGTAATACAATGCATATAGCCATGGTCCTATCTGGACCAGTGTAGCCTGCAGAATCCCTAGCCCATCAGACATCTATGTTTGATTCCATGCTGTTTCACTACATGATTATTTAAGCAACTGTACAGATTAATATTTATTTGCTTAGTTATTCCTACATCTTAACATTTCATAATGCTAGAAAATGGTGAATGACATGCATTTGATTATTATTTTTCCTTATGATTTAGTGTGAATTTGGTTTCGGAGAGCAATCTACTTCAATTAAAAATCCTGATATCCAACATTTAAAATAATTTAATTAGTTAAATAAAACTATATTAACCTCCTGAATACATAACACTACCTGCAGTTAGTGAAATTAAGCATCTGATTACCATGACCTCCAAGTTTATAGAACTAGTAGATTTAAGACTCTCCTACCCATTTGAGTCATAGTGAACATGAAAACACATTTACTTGCTTTTTCAAGTCCTATCAATTTCCCAGCTTTGAATGAATGAGTTACTGAAGTGAATTCAACTCTATAAACCAAAAATAAGAACATCTAAGTGAAATAAAAAAGTGCCTTCTCTGCACCTACATAAGAAACTACAGCTGCCAACATTTATCATTTCAGCAAATTCTAGTTTTACATGCTTAACCACCAATTTAATTTTAATATTTTGACTTCTCTTGAAACTATGGCAATAAATATGTATTGATTGAATATTTAATTATGGTAGGTTTAAGGCTTAATTGGTTGCTATCATTTCACATTTAAATAACTTTTTTTCCTATACATTTTTAAATTTACTTTAAAAAAAAAGATATTTCCACTTCACTTTTCTACTGATTCTTCCATTCATTACCCAGCAGCAGAAGACATCCAATGAGAGTTACTATGATTGATAGACAGCAGAACACTACATGAGTTGTTATAGACAATAAGCATATTCTTAATGTTTTTATTCAGGAAAACCACCTAATAAGGCTGTCAGACTTTATAAAAGCCATAACAATGCATTTCCCATAGCTTTGACCTACCCAGTGTCTGCAGCAAGGTCTCGGTGTAAGGAGCCACATGAAAACACATGGAAGGGTCCAGCCCAGCAGTGGCAGGCAGGTTGCTCTGCCCGTTGCCAGGGAGGCCTTGCTTTGCCAGTTCATTCATCAGTCCTATGCACAGAAGAAAAGAAAACGTGAGGAATACAGAACTCTGTGATGCAGTCCGACATGAAAACACTCTTCTTATCAAATGTTTTGATTCATCTGACCACAGTTCCATTACAGAGATATTAATGTGGGCCATGCTGAGCTTACCTAAGGGACATGAAATGCAACTTAATCATCCCCTCTCCCCCAAACCATATTAACTTACAGTGCAGCAAGTAGCTGTTGAAAATTGAGGCTTAGCCACAGCTTTCTCTGGGGACACCTCTGCTTTGTGACCAGCACCCTAGTTGTTTCTATTACCTTCTAACTCCTGCTGTGAACTGAAATGTGGAACATATGCATAGAAGATACTACACAACTGCTGAATTATAATGTAAGAAGTGTCTTAAATAAATTGGTGTCCACAAGGAAGAGAAGTCACAAATCCTGCTTGAGTGCAGGCCCTCAGGGTAAGCAGCAAGGCCAGCGTCCTGCATCCTACACAGCACCATGTGGCTACAGGAGCATTGCTAGATTACAGACCTGAACAGAAACATCATGTTCTGCTCATTTAACTCCCAGTCTGGAAAATATCCAATTCCATGCCACTTTTACAGACACCAAGTGCTTGAAACTAGCAATCTCTCCGTTCCCATTCTTCCTCCAAAAGGCTGGGCTATGCGCAGACAGTGCATTAAGGTGCTGGCATAGAGTATACTTCCACAAAAATTTGTTCAGCCTACTGTAATAATATTTCAGACCACAGTTTTAAAGGCTTGTTATTTTTTAAATTCCTTCGTACACATTTGATTGCTTTCTACCATACAAGCTTGTCAAAAATTTACTGTAGTGTAGCATGGGAAATGGATTATTAGCGCTAGAGGCTGATGGCAAACCTCAGGTGTCAAACGTGGCACTGACGAGATTTGAGCTTGTACCACTGACAATCACCTAATCTGCTTTTCAAAATTCAGGTGGCATGAGTAACCAAAAAATGTGCCATCACTGCCACAGTAGCATTACCTGCTGTTTATTTAAACTCAATGCATGGCAAAAAGTAAAGCTTGGACAAAAGTTTCTGGTGTTTGATCCTCAAGACAGTCTTTGGGTAATAGATCTCTCTCTGCTCTATTTCAGGAATGATTGTTGAATTTTTCCTTGCTTTGAAAATTGAACAGTGTTCAAGACATTGAAGGGTGTCCTGGTTTCGTCTGGGATAGAGTTAATTTTCTTCCTAGTAGCAGGCATAGTGCTGTGTTTTGGATTTAATAGGAGAAGAATGTTGATAACACACTGATGGTTTAGTTGTTGCTAAGTACTGCTTATGCTAGTCAAGGACTTTTCAGCTTCCCATGCTCTGCCAGGTACACAAGAAACTGGGAGGGGGCACAGCCAGAATAGCTGATCCAAACTGACCAAAGGGCTATTCCATACCATATGATGTCATGCTCAGTATATAAACTGGGTGGGGGTTGGCCGGGGAGCAGCGATCGCTGCTCGGGAACTGTCTGGGTATTGGTCGGTGGGTGGTGAGCAATTGCATTGTGTATCACTTGCTTTGTATATTATTATCATTACTATTTTACTTTATTTTAATTATTAAACTGTTCTTATCTCAACCCAGGAGTGTTTCTCACTCTTACTCCTCCGATTCTCTTCCCCATCCCATTGGGGTAGGGGGAGCGAGCAAGTGGCTGCGTGGTGCTGGGGCTAAACCACGACAAAGGGGTAACTGCTTTTCAGAGGTATTGATTACAAATGCAAAACTTCCTAGTGTCATATTTACCATACTCAAATCCTAGTGCTGTTCTACACTTCCCAGAGGCCAAACCAAAGCTTATGTGGCAAGAATGTCAGCTTCCCCTCTCCAGGGCTCTGGAATATGGAATAATGTATCTCTCTGGATCAGTTCTGAAGCAATCACAGAACACATGGAAAGAGGCAGGTATTGATTACAAATGCAAAACTTCCTAGTGTCATATTTACCATACTCAAATCCTAGTGCTGTTCTACACTTCCCAGAGGCCAAACCAAAGCTTATGTGGCAAGAATGTCAGCTTCCCCTCTCCAGGGCTCTGGAATATGGAATAATGTATCTCTCTGGATCAGTTCTGAAGCAATCACAGAACACATGGAAAGAGGCATTCACAAAATCTGTCTAGAAAGCAGCGGCGGGGGGGCGGCGCGCAGAGGGAAGAGTTCTCTACAATGAGGGAAAACATTTTACCTTTCTGGAATGTCCTTGTTCCAGTGCCCACCTATATATTTCTAGCGGAAATTTCCCCATGCAAAACATGAACACTGTAAACATCATCTGTGGCAGTCTGAGAAAAGCAGCAGAAACTGTACTTCTTTAGTGAGCAACTTTCCTTGGGTCTACAAGGCAGCAGGTGACACAGTGCTGTAATTAGTCTGCCATGATTAATCCACTGTGTCTGTACATGTTTTCAGGACATTCTGTGATAGTCTTGTGAGAAAAAGCAGAGGATTTTTTGAATTGTCATTTTTTTCCCAAACCTCTAAATGTGCTTTTCTATTGTGGATGCATTAAAGGAAGCAATTAGGCAGTGGATGAACATCTCCATCACGAGCTGTTTGTGGTGGTGTTAATAGAGGGGTCAGCAACAGTGATCCTCTTCTCTCAGCAGTGGTGTCTGAAGGGCAGGTTGCAGGAAAACAGATGCAGGAATGGACTCTCCTGCTGCAGGCAACATGCCCACTGCCAGAGCAGGAAGAAGCAGACAGGGCAGGTTCTTTGTTCCCTACTGATCACTGTTGCCTGTGATCTTCCCCACTTGAGACCACTGTCAGCTCATCCTTAAGAAAATCAAGTAATGTTTTTCCTGGACCAGAGCCTCCAAACAGAGCCTGACTCAAATAAGATGCTCTGGGGCAGTAACTTGTCTGGTTTTTGGCAGTCCCTACATATGGGCTAGATTTCAGATGCTTGGAAGTCACAAGTATGCAGAACTCAGGGATGAGGTTGACAGGATCAGATGCCATCCTCTGGCTCAGTGGCACATACATATTTTTGCTACCTGACCTCTCCGTGCAATAAGAATACCTAAGAGGAGATTATTGAGATAATGAAGCCAGGCCCATTATGGAGGTGTACAGTGGGAAGCCAAGACACAAGGCTCACAAATTCAAACAGAGGAGGTTCCAACTTGACATAAAGGAAAAATAGTTTCCCATAAGGACAGGTCAGGCATTGGAACCAAGGCCCAGAGAGGCAGGGGAATCTCCATCCCTTGAAGATTTTCAAGACCTGACTGAAAAAAGCCCTGAGCATCCTGATCTGAATTCAGTACTGATGCTGCGTTGAGCAGGATGTTGGATGAGAGACCTTCTAAGGTCCCTTCCAACATGAATTACTCTATGATTCTGAGTTCAAGAAGACTCCGGTGCTAAAGATCAAACAACTGACAAAGATCAACATGCTCTGTTGGATATGTAGTAGTAGTGACTGATTTACACGTAGGCCTGGAGATACATACAGCAAAACTATCAGGCCCTGATATTCTCACTAAATCTTTCCTGCAATGTAAAGGCTGTGGTTAGACTGTTAATGTTCAGCTCACACACGCTGAAATGCAAACCTTCTTTTCTGAGGATGTTGAGCAGTGAAAGCATTACCTTTTACCAACGCAGGAATGTGATGACTAGCATTCTCCTTTCTCAGCAACAAAATGAGACAGTGCATGCGTGGATCAGCAGACAGCTCACCTCTTGTAGAGCTGGTATCAGGTGAACTTGAAATCTTGCTAGGGCAAAATACAGCAATCTGAAATAATGAGGGCCAGATTAGACTACTAAATCTAGATGTAATTAATCACTATAGGGCTTAAGCAAATAGTTGAGTTACAATGGCATAACAAGATACAGCTCACCAGTAACATCCAATTACATCCAAAGCCACAGTCACTTCCAGTAACTGGGTGTTCACGCATCATCTATTCATTAGACAGAGGAACTTAATTTAAACCTCGGGGAAGACGCTTAACATAAAAATGTTCTGCCCTGCAGCTGGACTGGACTAAAACCACAACAGTTGTAACTCAGCTGATATGTGGTACCATCATAAGTCACTCATGCAAAAATAATCTTGAGTCCCAAATGAAGGGATGATTTTTTCAGAAACATTTAGCTCCAAACAGCACATTGAAGCAATAGTTGTTGCTGTTAACTTCTTAAGTGGCCATTTAGGAGCATGCTCCAAATATTTGGTAATTTGGGCTGTAGTGTTCCATAAGTAAGTAATGTTTATTCTACAAAATATTATGGTCAGGGAAAGTGTTTATTCCTCAGGCTTGATCACAGAACAAGCAGAAAAGAGGGGCTTTGTACACAGTTTAATTTGCAAAATGATGCATTTCCTGATTGACATAGCAAACAATCCTAAGCATGACAATTTAAAGGTGTCCACTCCTTTGTAAAAGAAAGTGTTATATAATTCCTGGGCAATTTATTGCATAAGAAATGCAGAACTGGGCTTCTTGCATATGTAAGTTTGACTGAAATCTGGCATTTATGATTATTGCTGTTTCCTTAGGCTGACTTGTCAAAATGCCAACTGCACTCTAACTCAAATCTATCATCATGTTAGACAGAGCTTCAGAGAAAAAGGAAAAAAAGTTGCTATTTTTGACAATAGGAAAGCTCTTTTTGCAACCCATCTGGAATGCATTAAACTAGGGGACTTCATGCTGAAAGGCCATGAGCAGTCCCAGAGGGACTGTGAAGTACATAATCAAACATCAGTCTGTTAGATGAAGACTGTTCTCCTGAATACATGTTTGCAGATTAGAAATTGTTATTTTGGTTTATGTGGCTACTGCCTGTTCTTGCCTTTTTTGAGATCAATGGCAAAATTCATGTTTGCCTTAGTAGGAGGAGGCCTGACTATGAATTTACACTTCTGTTCTCAGTGAGAGGCTGAGGCCTGGTGTGGCTTTCCTACTAAAGAAAAAAAAAATATCACTGAAAGCAACCAGAGTACCACTCACAGGAATACAGAGAACGTAAGTGCTGGCTAGCTAGTAAAGAGAGAATGAGTGTCCTTGAGAACACTTACTAAAGGAGTGTCGGCTCACACATCCATAAGCTCACAGCATAATTAGTTTCAGATCAACTAGTAACCCAAGGCATACAACTGAGCTGTGTGTTCTGTCCAGTACCTGACTTTTTGTCATGCTCAGCACAATGGCTTGCTTGGGTGAAAGCTGCAGCTGTCTGATTCCTTGCAGAACAAACCCCCGATGAGTACAGACCGAAATCACGTTACCGTATGCATGAGGAGATACCACAGGTGACACCAACAAAATGATGTCCCCTAGATCAAAAAGAGGGTAAGAAAAACAGCATATTATTTCCACAGAAGCCATGGTATCAATGCAAGGCAACTCTCACAGTGGCTAGTTCCAACCTGAAGCACATCTCAACTGGTGACACTGTATTTTACGGTTTATTTGCTCTATCCAGCTCATAATGACTGCTATGGGAGGCCAACCTAGAATGGAAAAGCTTATGGCATCGTCAATAATATTATTATGAATCATCTACCCCAGATAGTCTGTCTCATCAGGTCTATCTAGCTATCTATGAGCTATTCTTCTATCTTCGGGGTGTCTATGCTCTCAATTCACGTGCTAGCCCCTGCCAGGCTGCGTTTGAGCTGCTACCCTTACAGCTAGCAATCTCACAGCAGTCGGTTCCCTCAAGGACTAAGGACCCGATAAGCCTGGCCACACTGACGAGTAACTAAATATGGTCAACAAGACCAATTGGTGATTTGTCCACTATAATGTGCGTGAAGCAACTCCAGCCATTCCTCTCTGCTATTATTGGTGGTCCTAGCCTGTAGCTAGCTTCTACAGTCTTGTTCAGCACTACCTTCTGCTTCCTCTTGTCCCTTCTTTAGTCCTCTCTCTAACCTTCATCCCAGAGCTTTCATTGTGGCAGGGGCTCCTGAATCTTTGGACCAGCCTGTGATCATGACCTCACCTCACTCTTTGGTTTGGTACCATCTGTGGCTTCACAGGTTCCTGTCCTTGGCTATCATGATAATGGTATCAGCCAGCTCTCTCCTACCTGACTCTTATCCACTAGGTCTGGCTGCTTGTGCTCTCCTTGTATCCCTCAATCCAGTAGATAAGGTTGTAGAAGCAACTGGAATTTACTTTGGGTTAGAACCTTGGATTTTTAGACTCCTGTTTTCCAAGTTGAACCCCAAGCTCACTGCCAACAGGGTGGCAACAACATACACTAGGAGCAAGCTCAGGAGACAGAACCTACAAGACCTCCTGAGCAGTGTCTAAGCCCCATCTTAGGTACTACAGGACAAGCTCAAGACTTTTCCCTGAAGCCTCTGATCTACCTAAGGTCTGTTGCTTTGTTCTAATCTTATCTTGAGGGTCTGCTTTTACCATCACCTTCATTATTACACTGTCCTAGTCCTAATATTGCTTTTTTTTTCTGTACACAATATACATTCAGATCTCCATAACCTGCCAAGAGTGAGCTCTGAAGAAGACAAATCCTCAGCATCACTTCTACATGGGTTTCCTCTACGCTGCCCCGTTAATTTCTCTTGGCTCTAACCAAATGATATAATGGGACTTTGGAAGTATTTCAGTCTGTGTCCCAATTACAATATTGGGGGTAGGACTATCAGCAGTGAACATTTTTTTTGGTTCTAGACTTTGAGATATGGATATCTGTCCCCGCAAGAATCTGACCAAGGCTCAGCCTGGTAGTTCAAAGCAACAGCAATAAAGCAAGGGAAAGCTTGTGTTTATTACTAAGGATAGGACAGGCAGACTGTTTCTTTGCCTAAAATTTGTATTTGGCTTTATGGCTTTAATTTTGCTGGCTTTGAGCCAGACTGACATTAGTGCCACATTCACTATATGTGAACTGTCAAAATTTAGGGTTGCAGGTGGTAAGATTTTGGTTCCTCTTGAGTTGATAACACTTTAAAAAAACCCCACAAAACCAAAACAAACCCAAACCATTTTTCACATACACATATCCCAAATCAGGGAATACCTGCTAGGGTCAGTAAAACTTTGATTACTGAGAAAGGGCAGATATATCTGGTGGGAGTAGCAGTATATTTGTTCTGCATGCTCTGCATGGGTATACCTTCCTGTCTCCAAGAGAAGCTGCTGGAGACCTGAGGGAAGGAGTCAGTGAATGCTTCCTTTCCTTAAAACCCCATAGGGTGTCTTCTCCCAGACCAGATTTCAGCTTCTCTTCTGAGTGTCATGATACAATCATCTCTCTGAGGAGCAAAGCTTGAAAATGACTTCCCAAGCCCAAATACAGATGGAACGTGGTGTGGTGTAACTCAGCAGCCCACATCAAATGTGAATCATTAATGGCCATAAAAGGAAGGGGAGGCAGAAAATGTGACTCATTCCATCAGAAGCAACCAGCTGCCATCAATACCAATCCCAAATAACACAGAGCCAATGGCTGTCTGCCAAGCTACTTGAGTTAACATGCCCAGTTATACAAAAGAGAGTATCTCAAAGGTGAGATTTCCACCCCCCTTCCCCCTTTCTCCCTTCCCCATTTTCTTTCTGCCACCCTCTGTCACTTTCTGCTCTTTTCATCTTTTTGATTTATGTTTTCATTCTTTTCTCATGTGTTCTTTCCTTTGGCAATATAATTTTCTGTGCCTTCTTTCTATGTCAGTACAACCCTGCTTTCCTTCTGCCATCTTCTCCCTGACAGCTGCTGAGCTTCCACACCCCTCAGGTTTTTTTCCTGTGAAACTATCTTCAGTTGTGGGAGTAGAAACTAGATAGTAATGCTCTAACAGCATTGTCTAAAAATCACTTGTGCCCAAGATCTGCTGTGGCAGGCCCCACTAGAGAAGACTGTCAGTACATTGGCCTGCTACAGCAGACACCCCTACACCACACAGATCCTTCTTAGCTGGTTATAAGGCCTGCGTGCTTTGGCAGGTTTCTCTTGAACACAGTCAGCTTGCTAGGTACAAATTCATAAGCTGGAAGCCTACTCCTACAAAGGGAAAAGGGGGATTTGGGCAGAGCCAGGTGATAGCCAGTTAATATTAGCCCCACAAAGTGCTTTCTTTTCTGATTGTGTGGTCAGTCCTGCCCTGAATGAAGTCTTAACCATTTCATACCCACAGTAATAATATTCAACTCTTCACCAGTAGAGGTAGATTATCTCTAATCAATTACACAGGCAGTTTAAGGACGCTGTTAGGTCTTCACATGACTGTTTCTTTGATGAACAGGCCCGTGTGTAGAGATTTCCCATGGGGGTTTTTTGGGGGTATTTTTGTTGTTGTTGTGGGTTTTTTGGTTTTGTTTTGGTTTTTGAGTGGTGGTGGGGGGGTTGGGTTGGTTTTTTTGGTTGGTTTTTTTTATGCTTCAGTGAAATCTAAGCAGCCTACAGGACTCTAGCAGCTACTCCCACGAGGAGGATGAGGTGATAACATTCCTCTGTCACTTCATTTTAGGCAACAGTGTTTCACTAGAAATTTATTCCTGGCTCTAGAGCTGGCCAGGTCACAGCACTGGGCAATCCAGGGAGGCAGAATTCCTGAAACCGGTGGGCTGAAGTAAGGTAATATTATCAGTGAAGGAGAACCATAAAACCTCAAGATTCATTCCCTAACACTGACCTTTGGTAGTTGAGACAAGCATCGCTGGAGGTCGAGACAACACTGTGCCCTGGAGATGAACCTTTTCTTCATCTGCTTCTGCCCTAGTTGATGAAGGACTCCGAGAGCTAAAGAAAAACAATAAATATTGAAAGCTGTTATGCCAGGTTCTGACTCAAACCTACTTTCAGCAACAAACCTAGGGCCACAGAAGCTTCTCTGGTAAAACTGTTTTACTGGCAAAACCATTTCAATCCCTTGTCCCTGACATGAACTGCATCAAGGTCTCTCTGACTGAACATCTTTTTGTATTACTCCCCCCGAGGCTCTCCGTGTTCAATTAAGAGTAGCTAATGCAAAGTAGCCAGCCTGGCAAGAAAACCTGGGAATCAAGAAATATGTCAGGCTGTATTACCAGAGCTTTTCCTACCCACAGATACATCACTTTTGGTTCTTTAGCCAGAGTTTAACCAGTTTTAAAGGTTCATGTTGGGCAACAAGCACAATCAAGTCTGGCAGAGATGTTCATGGCAGTGAAATCTCTACAGCATTCCTGCACACCCAGAAGGACCAAATCACGGCACAGTGAACATAAGGCGTGGTTCTGAAAGCCAGGGACTGACAGCAACACAAACTGCAGTCTGTGAAACAGTTTGGCTAGGTCTGTGAAGTGCAGGCTGCTCAGGCAAACCTGCCTGCCTCATCCCCTACCACCACTGAGTTGGCTGGTATAACATCCTGGTTGTTCACTCCCAGGAGACCATGGCATTTGCAAGTATAATCTGAAAACTGCAATCTGAGTTGCAGTTTGTATTCTTGTCTCCCAGTGGACCAAATTACCAGCATTAGGAGAAAGACAAGTGCATTATTTAGAATGTAGCACCCCTCTGGACTGGCTAAGTTATACCAGAGAAGCAGAATTCATCATCTTTGTAAGAAATAAAAAGCATCCCTGAGGAAAACAAACAAGTAAATAAAGAGAATGAAACTTTGCCAAACTGATTTTTTTCAAATCTTAAAAGTAAAAGTTATGAGTCACTGTTCATGGCCAAGCAGAACTGAACTCCAACACACAGTCCCTCCATGAGCATCAGATTAATTCTACATGGGAGCACTTTGCCACTCTGCAGAAAGCACCAACAGGACTGCAGATTACCTCACCTCTAGGCTGCTGCCACTGACACAGTGTGCCACACTGCACTCAGCATCCAGGACCAGAAGGGATCTTTAAAAACCTGTCCAGAACTTGCCGGTGCAGGACCTTGTCTGAGCTTTCTGCAGGGGAGTTTCACCACAGCACTGTTTATTCAGTTCAACAATATTAAAAGGAGATGCCCAGGGCCTGAAAACCCCAGTGTAGAGGCTGGCATCCCATGTGATTACACAGGCCTGTGTGACAAGCATGACAGCCAGGGAGAGAAGATCTGTAGTTTGATATTCTCCTGGTTGGTGGAAATTCCTTGAAGCCCTAAGCCAAATCTTTCGATAAAGCCCTGTAAAACAAATGCTTCAAGCCACAGATCTACCTATGCTTGGAACAACCACAGGGGTGTCTTTCAGCAGCCAAAAAGACACGTGCCTCTTTTCTTCCCTCTGCAGGCCAGTCTACTCTGATCCTCCAGACAAAAGGGGTCTCCGAGTGCAGCAGAGCCCTTCATTTATACACACAGGATTAAATGTGCTTCCTGCATCCTTAGGTTTGAGTCTCTGCCCAGGAAGTTGCAAGATTGTCAGGAAGGGAAGTGATTGTTTTGTACTGTAGAAAGTACTCATCTTCATCAAGGAAAAGCTGCAGAGAGGTTTGGGAACAGAGTGCTGGGAAGGACTGCAAGAGAGTCCAGGCTACTGCTCCAGCCTTCCCTCTGCCTCTCTGCAGGTGCAGATGGTGTGCAAGGGCTGCTCAGTGCCAACTTCCACAGAGCTGCTGAAGCTCTGCTCCCTGCCCCCCACCCTTTTCCTTCACACACCTCTGCTCTGCTGAGTAAGGCCAATAGCAGGCATTCTGGCAGCCCAACATCAATGTTATAAACCAAACAACTTTAATCTTAAAAAACACTAGGTAAAACCATTTCTGTCCAAGACAGTTTAAGTGAGTCTTTGGGAGCTGCAGTCCCCCTCCCTGTAGCTCTACACAGCAGAGCACAGACGGTCTAGGTTGCATGATGGATTAATAGATGCTTAAAAGCCCAGTTCCCTCTGCAGCCATATCCAGACCCATCTGAGAGAGAGATTCCAGACTCCTGAATGTCACTTGTTCCTAGCACTTTTTGGCACCCTATTGCTATGCCATCAGTTCCTAAATTGCATTTCTCATGCTGTTTGCTAGAGTTAAAAGTTTATAAGTCACCCTTCATTGTCACACACTTCTGTCATAATCCTCCAAAGAACCTTTTCTATCTGAAGCCCCTTATCTCTGATTAGTTGATACAGAAGGGACATAGGGCAAAGCTAGACCAGGCTTTCTAGCAAAGGGCCACTCAGTGGCACACAATTGCAGCCCTTCTCCAGCACCAGGCACAGCTGGAAGAGGTCTCAAATCAGTCTGATCAGATGTTTCAGGCACAGAGGGCCCAAGAGCAGGTGATGCAAGCGTATGAATTACAGGCCTAGCTACCAGGAGCAAGTGATGGGAAGCAACTGCAAGAGTCCCACACCTGACACCTTGACACATCTATTATGTGCTGCAGAGTAGACAGTCCTGTGAGAGGGACTTTTGCAGATTCTAGTACCTGGCTTGGAAATACAAAAGTAGACAGATTGCTCCCACCCTGCACTCTTGTTCACTTTAGCAGAAGACTGATATGTAAAGACACAGTACACTAGCTGCGTGCCTGCCTGGCCATGTCACACTTTGCCTGTGAGAACAACCATAGTTCAAAAACATCCAGGGTCATCACCTTGCTCTGTTGTTGCATAGGGAAGCTGGATCCAGGACACCAGCATGCAGTGCTGTATGAGCAGCCCTCCCTCCAAACCAGAGGCACAGGTCCCTGTGCACACAGCTGTCCAGGTGCGGCAGGTAGGCAAGAGGCTCTGCTTGGCTCCTGCAGTAGTTGGCATTGATGGAACTGCAGTCTGTCACACTTGCCAGCTGCGGGTCAGACGGCCCAATGATATTCTGCAAGGTGCTACGTGCTTTAGGCCCTCTCACACCTAATGCCAGCACTGGTGGCACCTTACCAGTCTTTGAAGTATAGGGAGAAGGCAGCTTTTCTGTGAAAGACAAACATACATGTCACTAAAACATGGAACAACCTACTCCAAGGTCATTCATTCCACTCAAGTGCTCTTTTCAGATCTGTCATAGCCAGGCTTCAACAAAGTAACCTACTGGTTACCTGTCCTGTAGGTGATATGCTGGCAACCAGCTTCATATTTTTACCCAATAGTAAATCTGAGATTATTCAAGGTAGTCTGTTAAAGAAAGAGGAGCTGGTTGCCTCATATTTGCTGGGGAAAGGAGTGTGTACAAGGATTAGTTACCATGGAGCAGCTGATACACTAGATATAGTGTATATTTTTAATCAGATATGGGAAAGCTGGGAAGGGGATCACAAACTAGAAATTCATAGACTTCTTTTCTAGATTTTTTCCTTCTGCATCAAATAGAGATTTTGTACTATTTTGTAAGATGACATATCCAGGCTAATATTTAATTAGCCGCCCTTATTTCTCTGCCAGGACTTGAATTGTGGCTTTCCTTATTTCCTGCAACAACTCTTCCCTATGTCTCTGGCAAACCTTTCTCCATGTCTACTGTCAGCATAGTTGGGATTCAGTAAGTAACCCCAGAAAAAGAGCAAATTTGGCTCCTCTACAGTTCTTACTGCAGATGTTAGTAAAAGAAGGAAGGTGCGTCATTTTCTTCCCTGAGGTTTAAAAACATATTCAGTTACATCATTTGTTGCATAAGAATCAGAAGCCAGAACATAAGTCTCCAGAGCAGGTAGATAATGGAGAAACTGGCTGCAAATATTTAAAATAATAATCTTAAAGTTTTCAAGCTAAGGCTAAAAATGTAATTTACAAACTTGCATAGCAGTTCTCAGCTCAAATGAATTGTCTCTTCATACAAAATGTTCCTAAATAATGGTGCATGGTACAGAGCACTGAAGCAGATCTGCTGCCTGTCATCTCCTAATGACTGCTGATTTTATAGTTTTCTTATTAATTTCTGAAGTCCTTCATTTCTCCAGCTATCAGTATGAATGTATTACGTGCACAGCACTGGGAAAACTGCAATTCCACTTCTAAGGCAGTCTGCTCCTATTGTTTTCAAAAGTAAAAATGGGGAAGAGAGACTAGAGAATTTTTCTCTGCTTAAGCTGGTCTTCACTCACCTTATGCCTGAGGAAAAGGAAACCCATTTCTCTCACTCTCACCCTGCCTGTACCTTTCCCCAAGAGAAATGGACTGCCTGTATTTGTGATGGTGTCACATACAAACCTTCCAGGAGAACTTCTTGGCTTAAAAGAAAGTACAGGCCATACTATACTCCAGCGGCATTCTCTATACTTTGCAGCTAATGTAATGCCTGTTGCTCTAGAGTTATATTGCATTAGCAACTAATAATATTCCATACACAGTTTAAGACAGGCTTCATTATCTCTATTTCACAAATGGAAAAAAATAAAGACTTGGGTGGTACATGCCAATATTTGAAAACATTGGTGTCTAATGTTAAAGATTTAGTGACTTCAGTTCAGAGACCCATATCATTTTTGTTTACCTTATCTTCTTGGTCTCCCATCTCAGACCATCTTCTATTAGCAAATGTGACATTTTGGTGATGGCTTATAAGCCAATGCAATTACAGGATGGCTAGATCAGTACTTTTGCCCATGATTCTGAAGTCCCATAGGCAATGGGACTTCCACAGCTAAAACCTTCAGGAAAAATCAGTTGGAACTAATTTAGTATATTTCACTCACACAAGTCTAACCCTGGAGCTTAGAGCACTGCAATCTGGGAAAGATCGCTGCAAAGGAACAGCAACTAAAGCTGTTTGAGACACAAAAATGTATCAAGGGTTAAAAATTCAACTCATGGATATTCAACTCTGGGAACAGAAGGAAAGAAACACCCCAAGATCTTTTATAATTTCTTTTGGGAAAGACACAGGAACTGATAAAGCAGCACTCATGTAAATCTGATACCCTCTCCCCCATGCCCACAGCACCATGTCACTCTTCACCTTAGTTCACAGATCTTTGCCTTCACCTCAGTATCATCACATGATGAAATCTCTGAAGGAAAACTAGACCTCACCTGAGCTAGAGAGCAGCACATCCTGCTGAGGATAGAGCAGGCGGAGTCCACAGATATCCAGACCAGAACTGAGTACCAGCTGCAACATGTGATGGGCAGCTAGGGGACTTTGGAAGAGATTTTCAAACAGCAATACCATGGCAACCTGAACAGCAAGAGCACATTGGAGAAATGAGCCAAATGCTTCCAAGCCCTCAACAACCACACAGCTGTATCTCTTCTGCTCACCTTTAGTTCCCATGCTTTATCTACAGTGTAAGGGCTACAAAAAGGCTTCCTGTTATTTTATATTTACATGCAGTTCAGCACAGTAAGCTCTTAGCTTCAGATTGAATCATAACTATCTATGATAATTACAATTGAATCTATTTCTGCTGACATAATTGTGCCTTTTGTCACATAAATCTATTAGTAAAAAACTGCAAGTTCTCTGGGGCAGAGACTGAAGCATATCACTCCTGCTGTTTAACTTCATGTCCTACAGAAAGATGGTTAAATAATAATAGACCAACTCCTTGTTTCTTTATACCTACAACAGTACCAAAACCAACATTAAAAAAAAAAAAATATCAAAAGGCAGACACATCACTGGTACTGTCCCAAATTTACATTTTGAAATCTCCTTTACCAGACTAATCCAATTCAGCCCACTCTGGCATGTAGGAAGACATACACCAACACATACTGAATGTCTATACCCAAAAGGGAAGCAAATTACTATTGTGTTCCCATCAGAAGAAACATATTGTTTCGAAAAGCAGGTGCTTTATGATAGAAAGTTGTGTGGTGCTGTGGGTAATAAATTGTCTAGCTGTAGATCAGACAAGCATGATTGTACTGGCCTCAGATTTGTGCATGGTTCTCCTGGATGTAAAGCAACACAACACAATCCCCAGCAGCAAGCTTTATTATGGCTGCAGTGAACGCCAAATTAATTCATCACTATTGGACACTTTAAATGAAATGCTACTCCCCCATAAACACATTATGAGGCTTATACCATCGTGATAAATGAAGATATAAATTTACTCAAATCATAAAAAAGTGGTCTAATTAGGAATAAAAGCTCTATTTCTTTATGCTCATCTAGCTCAAGCTCTCCTGATATTAACCCAATATTCACAGCAGCCTGTAAGGAAGTATTTTTATGTAGCTGCTGCAAGAGTCCCTGGGGCTTGGCTGCCTGGGCTCAGGGCCAACTTTGATAACGCAGCTGTCCAGCATTGAGAAACCTCAGTAACTGCCTGTCTCCCCTTTGCTTAGGAGCCAGGCACTTGGCTTTGGTCTCCATCTGAGCTTTGTTGCAGGTATGCCTTGGCCCAGGCTCATATGTCACTGATTCTGGCCATTATCCTAACACACTGACTTGACTTTCTGGCTTGGCCTTGTCACTGTGACCTCTTGGCTGACCCTAGTTACAGCTGCTGGACCTGCTCTGCTCTTCTTGCTTGGGTAATGTGGGACTGCACACTGCCTGTGAGGTCACCAACCCTGCCTGCCTTGCTGTCAGTCTCAGCTCCTGGCTTGCCTTACCTTACAGAGCATCCTGCCCTTGCTATGAGAAGGTCTGTATGAACCCACTAACGGCACCCCTGAGGCAAGTTGAGGAACTGTAACAAAGACATGAGGCATTTCCTGACTGCTCCAAGTGCCAGGTATCTTCAGCTGCTAATTGTGGACTTCAAGCATCTTCCAGGAGCAAGCCTGGTATGCTCTCAGCAACTGCTCAGGCTTGCTGCGTCTTCAGGAAGAACTTGATATATCTGCATCTCCCTGAATCAATGCTAACAGGAAACTGAACTCTGTCAGATCAAACATGCTATGTTTTGTGTTGCTCAAGAGCTAAGAAAGGTGAGCTACCATAGTTAACAAGTTATCATACATGGGTGGAGGTCCAATACATTTTGGTATGCACTCCTAAACAGAGGTAAGTATCAGCTAGTTTGAGTTACCTTAACCTTCTCTTCTTCTGGGGTAAACTAAGTAGAATTACTTCCTACTTGTTCATCCAACACACACACTGTTACTGTAGGTCAGGTAGATAGTACCAGAAGCTTCAGAAATTTTTTTTAATATCTCTGAGTGCAAGTTTAAAAAAAAAGTTCTGTTGTATATTGGCTTGCAGTCAAGTGGTTTTGGGTTATCAAAATTTTGTCTACTGTTACTGATTTGCACCTGGTTAGTAGCAATTTCTTCAACCCTCACATTTCACAGTTTAATCCTCTGTGGCTCACAGCAATCAGCACATCAATACTGATGACACAAAATACTCAGCTGATATGTTTAGGTCTGAGTGAGAAGTACTTCAAGAACAGTATTTGTACCAAACCTCAGGACTGAAATATTCCAGGTCACTTAATCATCTCTCAACTTCCCACATCATCCTGCAAGACAGAAAGGAGTGGTTTGGTGGGTGTTTTTACCTCAGTGTCTATATCTCTGCAAGCCTCGATGTTGCTGCTATTAGGGAAGTATTCTTCATCAGTTTCAACTGTTTGCCAGTAAAATCCATTTGGCACCGCAAACACCTTCTCCACTGCCTGAAATGCACAAAGGACATCTCTTACCTGTATGTTATCTTGATCCCTCAAAGTAAAGGACTAGGAAAAAATAGTTTTTTATGGCTAGAGAGCACATAAGGATGCACATTATTGGATTAAACTAATTAATCCAGTGTCGTTAATTTGCTTTCTCACAACCGTACCACTAGCTCCAATTAAGTGATATCCCAAGAACACAAACCTGCAATTGCTTCCTGAGAGACTCAATATTCCCAGGGTCCAACCCAGTGACCCTCCAACATGCAGCATACCCACTGACAAGAACAGGAGTTGCATGTAAAAGGCACTGCAGGATCAGGCTGAGCAGCTCAAGACCTTGATTCTCCATGACTGTGCTGAGCATCCAGCAGAAAAGGGCTTTGTTAAAGGAATGTTCTAATTAACTAATCAAACAGAAGGGTA